CTTTTGCTCTTCTTTTCCTTTTTTTTATGTTTTCTTATCTTTTTCTCTCGGTTTTCTCGCTTGGTTTTTGGATGGGATCCGGTTTCTAAAAATCTGTGAAGTTAAGAGAGAATTTTTAGGAAAATGTTTTGACAGTTTAAATGGCTAATGATCCGGGTGAAATTTTTCTTTCGGTTTTGTCTCTTGTTTTTTGGATGGGAGCCGGGTTTCTAAAAATCTGAAGCTAAGAGAGAATTTTTGGGAAAAAGTCTTTAGAGTTTAAATGGCTAAAAGATTGGGTGGGAAAAAGAATGGACCAGGTCGAATTGATGGCTGTTGGGGAAAAGAGATGAATATGATAAATCTAAAAATTGAAAAAAAAATAGAATTCAAAGAATAATAGTCTGGGGGCATCAATTGGGAATTTTCTGACCAGAAAAAAATGAAGAAGATAAATAATGAGGCTTCCTCGGCGATCTCCGGTTCTGAGAATTCAAGGAATAATAAGTCTAGGGATTCAATTGGGTTTTTTCTGACCAGAAAAAATGAAGAAATAAATGATGAGGCGTCCTCGGCGATCTCCGCTTTTGGGTCGGTCTAGCACTAGCAAGCGGAGCGTGCGCGAGTAACCCGAAAGCCCTTATCTATATATATATATATATTTGAAGGCAGGTTTCTTACAAGGAGCCTCCACATGCATCAGAAAAACAAATCTGACTAAACATTCTTTTGTAGTATGATTTTCACAAAATTCAACATAGTCAATTAAATTACCAATATTAATCCATTTTCATTTGTCATCCACACAAACCAAATATAGTGAGAGAAAAGAAAAAAGACTACGTATCATCCTACTTACAAGCATTTCAACTGTGCCTCAATTTCAAATTTGCAAGGCAAAGGAGAAAACAGCTAATCATAAAACAAAACCTACATTATAGTAACCTCACTGAAATATTTCAAAATTAGGTTCAGCAAGTTCATTTCCAAAAAAAACAAATCTCATTGAACATTCTTTTGTAGTATGAATTCCACAAAAATTCAACAGTGTCAATTAAACCACCAATATTGAATTTCGTACTAAAGGTTGATTGGTGTGAAAAATATTCGCACCTTCGTATAAGATTAATAAATCGAATGCATGACGTTTATAAATATTTTATTTTGAAATCAAATAAAACATACGACTACATTTATTTCTATCCATATACATTCAATTTATAATATAATTTTCCATTATTATTTCAAGATCTATCTTCTACAAAATGCAGTTCTTAAATGATGTACACATTTTATCATATTTTGAACTATTGTTATACAAATCTTAGATTTTGATTATGTTGTTAGAATTTTTTTACTTTTTTTAATTCACCCTCTCTTTCAATTTCTTTCAATAATGTCAGCACCGTGCGTAGTATGGATAATCACACTAGTTTATATGTATTAGAAAGCAGGTTTTTTACGAGGAGCCTCCACAAGCGTCAAAAATTTGAATTCCCTTTTTACTATAATTTTAGATTTATTTTGATTCAATAATCCTTATTGCTTCTCCTTATCACTTCTCACTTTCCAATTCACGCGACCCATTAATCCACAAAATTAAAACTCCAAAATTTTAATTAACTAATGATCCACTAACCCACAAAATCAAAACTCCTAAATTTTAGATAAAGGATAATAATCACCCACGCAAATTAACGGATAATAATCACCCTGTAAAATCACATCTTCAAATTCCAAATCACATCTGACACCACACACACGACTAATAATAATAGCTAATTGATAATTTAAAAAACTCACCACTATGAAAATCATATATCCAAAATTTAGGAGCCCGTTTGAATTACAATCCCTATAATTTTCATAATTTTACGCATCTTATTATCATAACGTAATTTATTCTCATAATTATTCACAAGACTGACGACCACTAACCCATTTTTATTTGTCATCTACACAAACTAAATACATTGAGAACAAAAAAAAAAGACTATGTATCTTACTTTCACCATTGATGAATTCCATCTACAAGAATTTCAACGGCACTCCAAACTTGCAAGATTACAAAGGGGAAAACAACTGATTACAAAACGAAGTATACACCATAGTGATCCCACTGAAATACTTCAAAAGGTTTAGCAAGTTCACTTCAAAAAAAAAAAAACAAGTCACAATGAACATTATTTTGTAGTATGAACTCCACAAAATTTCAACAGTGTCAATTAAACCATCAATGTTGGACTTCAAACTAAAAGTTGATTGGTGTGAAAAATGTTTACACTTTTATACAAGATTATCAAATCGAATGCATAATGTTTATAAGTATTTCATTTTGAAATCAATAAAACATGGGATTACATTCATTTCTATCCATATATCGTTTATTTTCTATTATTATTTCAAGATCCATCTTTCGCAAATACAGTTCTTGAATGATATATACATTTTATCATACTTTAAACTAATGTTAGACAAATCTTAGATTTTGATTAATTGTACTTTTTTTTAATCCACCCTCTCTTTTTATTTCTTTCAATAACGTTAGCACTAGAGCTGCAAAACGAATCAAATCGATCACGAGTGATTCAAATTCGAGCTTGAGTCGAGTTCGAGTTGACCAAGTCAAATTTGAACTCGAATTTAAAAATACTAAATTCGTTAACTCACAAGTCGACTCAAGCTCGACTATATATATATATATATTTATATATATTATTTTAATAGTAAAATTACATATATATTCCTAATATTTTATTATTTGTTAAGAAAAATTATTATTTTATTTATTTTTTAAAAATAAAATAAATTTTTTTTTATTTTTTAAGCTCAAGCTCGAACTCAATTCGAGTCGAGTTCGAGCTCAAGTTTTACATTTTGAGCTCGTCAAGGTCGAACTTGAGTTTGAGCTTCATAAACCTAGGTTCAGATTCAACTCAATTAGGCCAAAACTCAATTCGATTCAGTTCGTTTCCACCCCTAATCAGCACCATGGTAGCATGGTTATTCACACTAGTATAAGAATACTAGAGAATTTGGATTTAATTAAGACGCCTGTGGGGACGGATGTCATGAACAAAACAAGTAGTACATTCAATTAATTTAGACGCTTGGGATGGATGTCATGAACAAAACAAGGACATCAAAATATACACGACTCAGAAGGGAACAAAGATTATGTTCGAAGCAAAACTGAATACGATATCTCTCAATAACAAGTACAGATTCATGAAATTAATTAAAAAGTAAGTTGGTGAAATAGCATATGCCCAAATCTAGTTAGGAACGTTTAGGTGGAAGCAAAACTGAATACGATATCTCACTAGCAAGTACAGATTCATGAAATTAATTAAAAAGCAAGTTGGTCAAATAGCATCTGCCCAAATCTAGTTAGGAACGCTTAGGTGAAATAACTTGGCTCTAGCAACTTTTAGTAATTGCCTATTTATTTTTAATAACACCATCTTATGGTGTTATATCAGGACATGAATATTGGTTCAGAATTCCATTTTTTTACGTATATAGGTTAAAAAGCTTATAAAAGTATTCTTTTATTATCACCTTGCTAAATGCTCATAGACATATTAAATTGTGTTTTTATATCAGTACGGAACAACAAACATTGGATAAATCTAAATGAATTTTCATGACATATAATCAAGTAATACTAGAGTAATTATCAATAAAAGTGACAAAATATTTAAAATTAGAGTTAGATATTATTGAACAATCATCCCCAATATTAGAGTTCACTAATTCAAAAGGGTATGCAGCCTATTTATTGACCCTAGGCAAATAAGGCAAACAGAGATGCTTCACAAATTGACGTATCTCACTCTATAAATCTTGAAAATTTGAAAACAATTTCTTCAAATTTGGTAGAGATAGATCACCCAAATGACAATAAACTTCAAGAGGTGTCATGATGAACAAACATGTAACAGGTTTTGGCATTTTCAAAGTTTCAAGTGTATAAAGTCTACCAAACTCACATATTCTACCAAAGCTTTCCGATCCTAAAAAATACAATATTCAGAGAAGGATGAGACAAAGCACTTAAGAGCTCTTGTAATTTTAACTAAGAGTTGATTAAAAGAATAATTAGGCAAGTGTAAGACCAGGGATAAAGAGATAGAGGTTGTAGGAATAGTTACACCAGAAACCACAATCAAGGCACTTGATCTATCAGCCAAAGTAACACTTGGAAGATTTATATTAGAATTAAAGAAGGAGAGAATATGGTAATATAATGATTTGATGATTTAAGTACTATAACAGTATTCTTAATCAGCTAACATAGGTCCACTATCTTTTGCGATTAAAGAGTATGCTTTCATGGTTTAAACATTTGTGATTTGACTACCAGTACTAAGCTAGTTCGAGTTTTTCAGTTATTTCATTGCTGTTAGCTGCTACTAAATGAGATTCTATGTACAATCTATCATCAGGAATGGGCAAGACGGTTGTATTAAGAGTGAAGCCTGATTCGCAGCTGATCCTCAATTACCTGGTGATCGCTCATAGCGGGAAAACCGTCACAGGAGTCCAATAGGGTGGTCTCAAGCCTAATCTTGATTCCCAATGCTTCCAAAACGTTACCTGGATAATGTACTGTAGATTTGCAAGGCTTTTACCACATTGTTGTTTTTCACCTGTTCCAAAATGACAAGCATCAAAGACATGAATCTCTCCCAGATTTTGCTTAAATCCTTGAACACACATCCGTGAACTTCGGCTGGATTTGTTTGTCACTCATGAGGTCAAACTTGGTGACATCAACAAGGCTTTCAAGTTGCTTATTGAAGGCAAGTGCCTGAGGACTGTCATTTTCACAAATTACATACATAAAATGTTAGTCAAAGAATACATAAACTGATGCAGAAGATTTTTGGAAGCATGGTAGTTATAACCCATAGAACTCTAGTACCCCCAAAAAATCAATAATAGTAAAGGTAAAGAAAGAGAACCACCACCCAAAAGGAAACAGAAAAAAGGTATCAATCAAGAAAAATGGGTGCATGCTACTCCAAGCTATCAATCAAGTCCTTAAAATTGAACACCAGCCAATCAGCTTTAGCTGCAACAGTTTCTCGAAGCTGAACCCTAGCATAGCATATGAATAAGTCGGCACCTCCTGGTTTGCGAGCCTACAAGTAGAAAGAGTATAAATTCTGCGAGCAACATGAGAGTAAAAGCTCTTCATTTATTCAATTTAGAAGCATTTTTGGGCCAAAACTTAGAATGATATTAATAATGTATGAAGCTTGAACAGGTTTTAAGATAGCCACTATAGTCTACTTTGAAGCAATTAAAGTCAATGTATGGAATCAATTCCTCCATGGATTTACCAAGTTTGAGGTCTAAATCTTTATGTCCTGCTATTACTGTATGTAAACTTTAGATAAGTCAGTTATTAGATTCTAGATATTGGACCATGTTAAACTCAAGTTAACATGTAGTAGAAAAAGCTCTCGTTGGGATTTACTTCTTGATTTTTTTTCCTTGGGTTGGTTGTATTCCGTAGATGAAGTGGTCACCAAACTAGACAAGATGAACACTTTTTTACCACAAGATCAGTTGCACCATCTCTAATCATGACCAGCGATTTATATCCATTAGCCTGATAACATTATCAAGTATTTGGTCAATATTCTAAAAACCAATACACAACAAACAACTACTAAGAGTTCAACTTACCTTCCTTATCTGCTGAACAGCAATAGCTTTTCCTCCACTCCTAGACGTTGGCTCATCTGTATCAAACCCCAAAAACTCTCCAGCACTTCCGAAAAGAAGTTGATTGGCAAAAATGTGGTCAACGGGAATACCAAGAATTGATGCAACAGGCTGTTAAACTGTAGTAGTTAGAACTTTGACACAGTTTCAAGCACAAAGTATGCTTCCATATGAAACATGTGTGATTCTTTTAGGGATTCAAAGCAAGGAACTGTTAAAACAGGTAATATTGATGCAGGAAAAGTATCAACTTGGAAGCAGTGCAGCATAAAAATCAGGTTACTGAACCTCAATTTTTTAGCCAATATTTAAACCATCAATTCAGAGAATATTTCAACCAACATCAATAATGACTATAGTATGCTAATGGGCATCTTGACACAATGGCAAATTGATCCAAGGACTCCCAGCCTCAATTGTTATCTGGATATGAAGAAGAAAAGATATATCAAAAGCCACTCAGAGAGAAGCATATTGTAAGTGCCCGGTGCAACCCAATGAGTACAAACAAATTCACAATGATGCACAAAGATATATCAAATTTAAGCACAATAAAGAAAACTTAATTAAAGAGAAAAGATAAGAAATGCAAACCAAATATCAAACCAATAGCCTCTTCAATTGATGGCGATGCTAACCAAGATGTACAAGTGAAGGCTCACTCCTTCCTCACCCCAAACACACTTTGGTTGACCCAAGGAGTTTTACAACTATTCTAGTTAACCCTCAACAACCTACACTTGAAAGATCACACACCCAATTTAGAACTATTTTATACAAATGAGGCAACCTTCACCAAGGTTTTACCACTTCAAGTGATAGGTTCACCTTCACCAAGGTTTTACTCCACCTAGAGAGTAACCTTCACTTGAGCAACCTCACAACCCAACTTTCCCAACCCCTTATACAACCAACAAAGAATCTTTCTACTCAAAAATCTCACTTGTAAGCTTGTATTTTGTGTTGGCAAAAGTCTTTTGTCTTCTTGTGCTTTGGGGTATTTATAGAAGGTGAGAAATGGCTTCAAAAGGCTCTCTAATGGTCAAATATTAAATGCTGTCAAAACTAGCCGTTGGCCTGTCGGACGTCCGAACCACCTGTCGGACGTCCGAACCCTGCGTCCAAACCACCTGTCGGACGTCCGAACCCTGCGTCCGAACGTCGTCAGAGAGTCATCAAATCTTTGCGAAATTTCTCGGACGTCCGATGCGATCGATGTGCGTCCGATGCGTGGTTCTTCATCCTTTCGGACGTCCGATAGCTTCCTTTCGAACGTCCCACATGAGTGCCCTGTTTTTGCTTCTTCTTTTGTGCCACAAGAATCTGTTCTAACAAATTGCTCACATAAAAACATTAGCCCAAATCTACATTTTAGTTTGTTAATCATCAAAACCAAGGATTGATCGACCAAGGTCAACAATCTCCCCCTTTTTGATGATGACAAACAAAATGAAGATTTCTTTGATCAAATAAGTTCAAATAAAACTCCCCCTTAGAAAATGCCAACATACAAAGAAATTTCAATTAATCCTACTCCCCCTTTTGACATCAATCAAAAAGCAAACTCCCCCTTTATTTTCCAAATCAAGACCATATAGAATGACAAAACTTTCATGATACCAATTGTAATTTTTTATAGGGTTCTTGGGAGTTAGTACAACATGATCTAGCAATCCACATGGATTTCATACCTTTTCTCATATTTTTCTTTACATAACAATCATTTTGCATATGTCCAAATTGGCAACAAAAGTGACACATGATAGAAGTATTTTGCACATAGGTGGATTTAATGCAACTAATTTTCTTACTTCTTATCATAGCAAACTTATTTGTACCTTGAAAAGATTTGCTTTCTTTTGTTTGAGAAAACGTTTGTTTTTCATTTTGGAGAAACTCGTTCAAGTCATTAATTCTTTTCTTTAACACATTTTGGTCCTCCAACATTTTTTCATAAAACTTTGTTTTCTCTTCCAACTTCCTTTTCAAATTATTTTTGCAATCAAAAACACTTTTTTGATTTTTTAAATCATCATTTTCCATTCTCAAACATTTGTTTTCTTGAAAAAGTTTGGAGTTTTCTTCCAACAAATCATTTATTTTTGTTTTCAAATCTTTATTTTTAGCATAAGATTTTCTCAAACTTTTATGCATTTTAATCATAAGAATTTTCACATCATCATTTTCATTATCTTCATCACAAGAAGAGTGATAAGAACTTACCTCATCTTCTCCAACGGCCATTAGTGCCATTTGGGCCAACTCTTCTTTTTCTCTTTTTGAATTGCATTCATCCCATGTAATTTTGCAATCTCCTCTTGAACATCTCTTGTTGAAAATCTTCTTGAAACTTTTGATGTGAGGAGTTATATCATTGTCCATTTTCATGATTTCATTACCCATGAAGGATGGGTTATCCCCCACTTGAGATGCTTTAAAAGCTATGCCTCTCTTATACATTCTTGCATTTTCTTCCTCTTGCACTTTGAATTTCAGCTTTAATTCATAAGAGGTTAGGGTATCCACAAGAGATTCAATGGACATAAAATTTAAATCCTTTGCCTCTTCTATAGCATTTATTTTGTTTTCCCATTCTTTTGGCAAGGCATTCAAAATCTTTCTATTTTTCTCACCCAAAGAATATTCTTTTCCAAGCAATTTAAGATCTTCAATAATGTCACAAAATCTACTACACATCTTATCAACATTTTCAAGAGGATGCATTTTGAAAAATTCATATTGAGAAACAAGTAAAGATTTCTTTTGTTCTTTAATATCTTGGTTACCTTCATGAAATACACACAATTTATCCCAAATATCTTTAGCTGATTTACAACCTTTAATCCTACTAGATTCATTTACATCTAATGCATTGTACAATATACACATGGCCTTGGCATTCAAAGAAAGGTATCTCTTGTCTTTTTCATTCAATTCTTGTCTAGTCTTTAATCTACTCAAATTGGCGGTAGAGTCAACTATTCTAGCTTCATAAGGACCATCTTCTACCACATACCATAATTCAATATAAACGGATTGTAAGAAAATCATCATTCTTTGTTTCCACATGCTAAAATGAGAACCATTAAACATAGGTGGTCTATCAATAGATTGCCCTTCTAAAAAGGAAACTTTTATGGTTGCCATGATCTTTACTCCAAGCCGATTGAGCTTAGTCTCAAGGAGACCAAGCTCTGATACCAATTGTAAGTGCCCGGTGCAACCCAATGAGTACAAACAAATTCACAATGATGCACAAAGATATATCAAATTTAAGCACAATAAAGAAAACTTAATTAAAGAGAAAAGATAAGAAATGCAAACCAAATATCAAACCAATAGCCTCTTCAATTGATGGCGATGCTAACCAAGATGTACAAGTGAAGGCTCACTCCTTCCTCACCCCAAACACACTTTGGTTGAGCCAAGGAGTTTTACAACTATTCTAGTTAACCCTCAACAACCTACACTTGAAAGATCACACACCCAATTTAGAACTATTTTATACAAATGAGGCAACCTTCACCAAGGTTTTACCACTTCAAGTGATAGGTTCACCTTCACCAAGGTTTTACTCCTCCTAGAGAGTAACCTTCACTTGAGCAACCTCACAACCCAACTTCCCCAACCCCTTATACAACCAACAAAGAATCTTTCTACTCAAAAATCTCACTTGTAAGCTTGTATTTTGTGTTGGCAAAAGTCTTGTGTCTTCTTGTGCTTTGGGGTGTTTATAGAAGGTGAGAAATGGCTCCAAAAGGCTCTCCAACGGTCAAATATTAAATGCTGTCAAAACTAGCCGTTGGCCTGTCGGATGTCCGAACCCTGCGTCCAAACCACCTGTCGGACGTCCGAACCCTGCGTCCGAACGTCGTCAGAGAGTCATCAAATCTTTGCGAAATTTCTCGGACGTCCGATGCGATCGATGTGCGTCCGATGCGTGGTTCTTCATCCTTTCGGACGTCCGATAGCTTCCTTTCGGACGTCCCACATGAGTGCCCTGTTTTTGCTTCTTCTTTTGTGCCACAAGAATCTGTTCTAACAAATTGCTCACATAAAAACATTAGCCCAAATCTACATTTTGGTTTGTTAATCATCAAAACCAAGGACTGATCAACCAAGGTCAACACATATACATTGATCATTTGGCGAAATCCTCCAGAGATCAGATAAACATCAGTGTTTCTAGCCTTCATCTTCTTGACTAACTCATTAATCCCATGAGAAATTTTGCAAACCAAGTAAATCAATTAACCCAGACATTTTCATTACTTGGAAAATACAGATCAACTATGGCTTGAAAAACACTAAATGGTTTAGTTTCGTGTAAAGTTCCATGCTATATAACAATACATACTGTATATTATATACAAAGCAACGTCAGATGCAAACACTCAAAAGACAGTAAAATATGATCATGCATTGTCCAAATAGAGTAGTTGCATAAAACTAATTGTTTCTTAATTATTTCACTTGAATCAGGGTTTTGTGTGCAATCAGAAGAGCACACCTTCAAGATGGCAGGCATTCTGAAAGGTCTGATATGGACATCCTAATACTAGATCTTGTTAAAATGCAAATTTTGCATGCCAAAGATATGTGTAACTCATAATCGTAATCCAAATTGAAACAACTACAAGGTGCAACTTTACATGGTTGTAGTCAAGTCATTCACAACTAAATTTCACCATTTTAGTTTTGAAAATTGCACTGCAATAATGATAAAAACTGATTGACTGTGCACAAGATTGAGAGATAAAACAAGCAGAGTGTCTTTTTTTTGGAGGTTTATGTCTGTATTTCACTTCTCCACACGTGATGATGTCCAAAGCATATGGAGCTTACATTGAATTGTTAAAAATAGTAGATGATGTATATAGGCCTCATTAACTGTCAAAAGAACTGTAGCAATTCTAGCATAAATTTCTCACTACTGAATACAGTTTCTTACCTTGGAGGTCTCTTTTCAAGGAAATCTTGGACTTGTGCTATTGAAGGATTAAACAGAGACAATCTTGCAGCCAAGGCATCCTCAAAAGGAATAGATCCACTCATTGCCCTAGTGATGAGCACATAATCAGATCAAACACTCAATTCTATGCACATCTAAAAAAATGTCTATCGAAGGCATATCACCTAGCAGTCCATTCTGCAACAGCCTTTCCAGCACCGCAAAACTCAACAAGTTCATCAATGCCCTCATCTAGGCATACTGTACTATCCACGTCAAAGCATACAACATCAGCATTGCACCACACCTCAAGGACCTCTTACAAATTTAAAGGATGCATATCACCAATTAAAACTCATCATTGTCTTCATTCGTACATACTATTAAATCTAATTTGTCATCATATTTTATACATTACATACAAGAAATAAAGTTTTTCTCAGACCTTGAAATTACCTTTTGATAGCAATGCTTTGTTGAACTGGCCCTCTTTTGAGGCCTCCAATGGCTGAACTGAAGCATTGATTTAAGATTTTTCATTGCCACAAATTTATTACCAAAGCCAATTGTCTTTATCCTCAGAGAAAATGTAGGGAAAAAAAACAGAACTTTCTTGTGTAGAATAGGTGCGAATTGGGTTCAATTGTGCACTAATTAATCCCTCCATCAAAGCTCCCTGATTGTAACAAAAAATAAGAACATGTTATATCATTTTCAATGCCAAAAATCCATACCGGCAATCATAAAATTCATCAACAATTTGCATTAAAATTCAACTAAACACAATAACCATTAGTATTTAGTGAAGTGTTGCAACAAAAAGCGTAAAGAAGGGATGTGGATCAAATCCAAAATGTAGCAAAACGCGAGCTTTAAGGAAATGAAGGAAACTCCATTTCCACATGAACTTGTACAGGTGGCTACAAGAATCAATACTATAAGTTTTAATACAGATGGCATATAAATTTAACTTCCGACCACTCTTAGATGATAGATAGGCCTTCAATCATTCAATAACCAACCAAAAATAACCAAATAACTTCTATGAAGTAAGATCAGAAATTGCAGTCAAAGACAATTAAATCAAATCTCTATACTTTTACTGAAAGATCTGAAGCCAAACCAATATAAGCATCATATATGTAGCAAGCAAACAAAGAAAAATTGGAAAACAAAGGCCAACCTACTAAAGATTTGCTGAAACAGTAATGAGTGAGGATACCAAAGGATAGGTACAGTTGCGCCCGATTTCAGGGCATGAAAAGAAAAAAGTAATTAATGAAAATAATTGATTGGTCGAATGAGGAAAACAAATTAATGTATCAGTTCAGTACAGATAGATGCTTGAAAAGATGGGATAGAGGGAAAGGAATAAGAATGCCAACCAGAAGATAAGGTAGGTGAGATGAGGAAACGAATGTTTTAGCCAATCTCAACCTCTTAGCAAGTGCTGCTACTCCATGTTATGTGATCCTGAAATTCATGAGAAATTTTCAAAGGAGTTCAACTGGAAAATAACAAGGAGGTTGTTAGAGAGTCTGGTAGCATTCTTGATTTTCCTCCCTTTTTGAAATTATGCCGGAAATCGAAATCACAACCCCAGGCCCCCTCCGCCCCATCCCCAGCTGCCCTCTACAAATTAAAAAAAAAAAAAACTTCAGAAAACGATGTCGTAATTCAGTTTTTTCCTATTATATAGTTACACCTATGAAAAATTTACTATGAAAAAACGACGCTGCTTGAATTTTAGTTGATCACTAGATCTAAAATAGATTTTATTTTATTTTTTTATTTTTGTCATTTTGCAGTTGAGCGGCACTGTTTGGATCCACAAATTTTTCAAAAATTAGTTTTTCAAAAATTATAAAAATTTTTAAAAAGTACTTTAAAAAGTACTTTTTTTAGAGTACCTTTTTTTGAGACATAAAAAAAGCGTGGGGTACCTTTTTTTACTACATGTTAACTTGAGTTTAACATGGTCCAATATCTAGAATCCAATAACTGACTTTATCTAAAGTCTGCATACAGTAATAGCAAGACATAAAGATTTAGACCTCAAACTTGGTAAATCTATTCCTGTTGACCACACTTTTGCCAATCAACTTCTTTTTGGAAGTGCTGAAGAGTTTTTGGGGCTTGATCCAAATGAGCCAAAGTCTAGGCGTGGAAGAAAAGCTATTGCTGTTCAGCAGATAAAGAAGGTAAGTTGAACTCTTAGTAGTTGTTTGTTGTGTATTGATTTTTAGAATATTGACCAAATACTTGATAATGTTTTCAGGCTAATGGATATAAATTGCTGGTCATGATTGGAGATGGTGCAACTGATCTTGAGGTAAAAAAGTGTTCATCTTGTCTTGTTTGGTGACCACTTAATCTACTGATAGGGATATAATTATGCATTTTATTTGTGGTTATTTGGTCTTAATTTTGGCAGTTTATTATGCAAAGTATTGGATTTCTGCTCATAATGGGTATTTTGTGTTACTTATAGGCAATTGGTGTTAAAAGTGATAAAAAGGGCAAATTCCAGAAGACTGCGCCTTCTCCGGCGTGCCCACGCCAAACAACGCAGAGTTGCGTGAAAAAGCCGGATTGCGGGTCCTATTCCTGGGGCCACCGCCTTTCCTTGGAGCCATACTTTAAACTTACGTGGGATTAGGAAATAGAATTGGAAGATGACTTTTGGTAACAATCCAATGGGGGAAAAGGAAGCAAATTGTTTGAAGAAACCCACCTATTATTTCGGCTAGCAAAAAGGAAACGGCGGCGCAAACAATAAAAAGAAGACAACAATAGACTAGGGATGGATCTGGGACTTGGACTTTTTCTCTGCTTTTGTTTTCTTCGTTGTTAGGAGACTAGCGGGGAAAAATCTTTTACTCCTTCAATTAACAAAACTCCATGAAAACTTTGATTGGCTTTGTTGTCATGACTATGCGGCAAGGCTAGATCGTTTATCTAGTTGAGGAATAAATCGAGGATCGGGGCACCATAACTGTGAGATCGTTTTAATTGCTTATTTTTAATTTATATGTTCATGGGTATTTGATTATTCTCTATTTTTCCCTGAGTTATTATTGTTTAGATTTATTGGATAATTAGGCCTGTTATTCGATTGTCTAAATAATTGATAGCCAATTAGGATGTTGGCGCGTCGCCTTTAAGCATATTGATTAGTGGCAAACGAGACAATTGCACCGCCTCGCAAGCGGTCTAATTTGGATCATGGGGATAATTAATCTAGCCTAAACAAATTCGCATGTGTGTTTGTCATCTAGAATTGGGTCTTTCTAATTCCTAATGCTGTGGCTACATTAAATCTTGTGAGCGTTTCTGGGGTTGTCTAGTCACAAGAGGGTAGTTTATGAGCGTCTCTTGACTACCATAAAATTAAGGAAAGATTGGTGGTTGGGCGCGTCGCTTGACCACTTTAACCAGTTTATTCGTGATTATATGAATTGTCCCTTGTATTTGTGATCAGTTGTGAGCTTGGATCCCAAGATTAATTCCTTGACTAGGTTATTTTAATTAATTGTTATTTGTGTAATTTGGTTCCCGCTATCTTACTCAACTTTGAATTTCAGTTTTTATTCCTTTTTAATTAGTTGATACTATTGCTAAAAATTCCCCCCTTTTTCCTGTGTGATTTGCCTACCAGTTCCCTGCGGAGACGACCCTACTTGCCCTGTTTACAAATTAAATTTGAGATTGTGTTGGTTGGCAATTAAGCTGTTATTTTTAACTTTATTTTTGGAGGTTTGACCATCACCAAATTTTGGTGCCGTTGTCGGGGAACCGGTGTTTTAATTGACTTATTGCACAGGTTTTAGTTTTTATTTTTATTTATTTGTTCTTTTTTATTTTATGCCTCGATCTTCTCGTACAGGAGAATTAGAATTTGATCCAGAGATCGAGAAGACTGCAAGAAGGTTGACTAAGGAGGCAAAGTTGCGTAAGCAACAAGATTCAACGTCACCTTCAGAATCTGAGCAAGAGTTTATTTCCAGTGATTCATCAAACGAATCTGAAGAAAACAAAGTGCATATTCCCCGAGTAGCAATGGTAGCCCCAAAAACTTTGAGGGAGTTGGCAACTCCTAACGTGAACCAACAGCCATTATGCATTACATTTCCTAACACGGAAGAGGCATTTGAGCTTAAGTCTGGTCTTATTCACTTACTTCCTACTTTTCGTGGTATTGCAGGTGAAGACCCACATAAACACTTGAAAGAATTTCATGTGGTGTGCTCCACAAT